ACACTAATTCCCGCCTAAAGAATAATTGTGTGGCTACGATTAAGTCTACTTCTATTAATATCTTCCCTTCTATTCTTTTCTCAGGCAAGATAGAAAAGACAGAGGAGAAAATGTCTGAGGAAGAGAACAGCAGCGTAGTAAAGTCTCCACCTTCCAACCACCAGGTAACTTTACAGCTTTAAGAGTATTTATATCCTTGTGGGACTTATTGCATAAAGTCGATTGTACACCTCCATATCATGCGTAACAATGAAACCTTATTTTTTGTTCTATACTATTTGATAGAACAGAGTGATTTGATCGACTTTAGAAAACGTAAAATATAGTCCTGCTATATAAGTTTCGGTTATTAGTAGACTTAAGTAGAACCGAGTTATGATTTTCAAAACATAGAAATAGAACCAATATTAAGACAGTGATAATGATTTCATATTGAAAATCTACAGATGCTAGAACAGGACACTGTTCAAATCACAACTGGAAACTGGGTCAAGGAAGTGGATGGCAAGTGGGTCTTTGATATACTATGTGAAGATGAGAATAACTGCATCAGATTAAGTAATGGAATGGAATACGACACTTTGGTGCAGAACGTAAAAGCTCAGTTACGTCTTCCTACAACTGCACAAATCAAAATGTCGTATCAATATCCAACCTGGATGGAAATTGATGATGGTGATGGATCTACCCCCCAGTTCATCTCAGACGATCATGAGGTTGGCGTATTTGTGGATATGCGTAGAGAAGTCGAAGAGGTCAACCTATTTGTCACCATTACGCAATGTACCGATCGGAGTGCAACAAATCAACAAAAACCACTCCATGCTAATGTGACTGATCAAACCTGTCTCGGCAACGAAGAGGACGGTGACACCACTGACAGTGAATCAATGGCGAATGAAACGTGGGTGGATTTTGCGATGTCAGAGACGCCACTAACATGCCCAACCATAAAAAATGGAGTAGGAGGAAGTTTTCGTGTAGAAGGGCCAAAGACTATTCCAAAAGGGGGCAATGGAATAGTAATCCGTGAACCAGAACCGGTCATAACGCTATGTAGTCCACCACAACACCCGCCTTGTAAGGGTAAGGGGAAAAGAGTGAGCTTCCCATCTGACGAAGAAACCGATGATGAGGCCGCTGTACCAATAAACGTACCACCGAGCCATGACAATTGTGGGGAAGGAACAAGCAGTAGAACGGTTAAAAGACGCTTGTTTTCCGTTACTCCTCCCCCTTCTGAGGGGTCACAGCAGCAAAACGAAACAAGAGAGGGAGAAGATAATTTGGTGGAACCTGTTATTGAACCCCAGGCTACTCCTGTGAACCCACCTCCTCCTCTAAATCAGTGGAATCGGTTCCAAGATGCACTCCAGGATATTTTTAATGACGAGAGCTCACAAAATGTGCTATTTGGTCGAGATGCACCCCCGGTCATTGATAGTGGTGAAAATGATGGTATGATATTCCATACTATAATTGATTTGCGTAGTATAGGCCACTTTAAGAAACTGGACTAACAATGAATACTAATTCCATTCAGGATTAGATGCAGCGTTAGATGCCGTACCGTATGAAGGCGATAATCTGTTCGTGGGTCAGGTGTTCAAGTCCAAAACTGATTGCAAGATAAAAATTGCAATCCATGCGATCAACAGGAAGTTTCATTTGAAGACAAAGCGGTCGACACCAAAATATATGGTGCTCATATGTGTGGCTGTTGACTGTCCTTGGAGAGTTTATGCAGCTAAGGTGGATGGGTTTGAGTCATTCCAGATAAGACAACTAACGCTTAGGCATTGTTGCACCGTTGATGCCCGCCGTAACTACCATAAATTGGCAACTACCCAAGTCATTGGGGAACTTATCCAAGCTCGTTTCATCGCAATTAAGCGTGGACCATCTCCAGCTACTATAAGAAAAATGATGCTAGATGACTTCCATGTCAATATATCTTATTGGAAATCATGGAGGTCTCGGGAAGTTGGAATGGAATTGGCGTTAGGTTCTATGGCAGGAAGTTATGCACTTATGCCAGCGTACATGGGCCTCGTAGAGACGACTAACCCTGGGTCAATATGCCGTCTCCATAAGCAAGAGAATGCGGAAGGAAGCATGGTCTTTAAGTATGCCTTCATTGCATTTGGTGCATCAATAAAAGGTTACAGATTCATGCGCAAAGTTATTGTCATTGATGGGACCAGTCTGAAAGGCCGCTATGGGGGATGTTTACTCTCAGCCTCTGCGCAAGACGGGAATTTCCAAATTTTCCCCCTAGCCTTCGGGGTGGTAGACAGTGAGAATGATGACGCCTGGGAGTGGTTTCTGAAACAGTTGAAATTATTTGTTGGTGATTCTCCTAATCTTGTCTTTGTTTCAGACCGACATGGAAGCATATACAATGCAATCGGGAAGGTAATAAGCATGTAGTATATAAAACTATACTATTGTTGTCAACGGTATAGTTTAACTAACATAAATGCTCAAACAGGTTTACCCAGCTTCCTGTCATGCTTCCTGCACAGTCCATCTTTGGAGAAACATTAAGGCAAGATTCAAATCGAAAAGGGTTGCATCCCTGATGGGTGCTGCAGCACGAGCTTTCACGGTTTCTGAGTTTAACAAGAGGTTCTTGGACATTCAACGTGTTAGTCCAGGATGTGCTGCATATTTGGTGGACATAGGTATGATGCAACGTAATTCCATACTATATACATATCTCAATAGTATAGTAACACTTAATTTTCCAATGCATATAGGGTTCGACCATTGGACACGAGCATATTTCAGAGGTGATAGGTATAATATCATGGATTCCAATATTGCTGAGTCGTGGAATGCTGTGTTGACAGAAGCAAGGGAATACCCTCTGATATCTATGTGTGAATATATTCGAACCAAATTGATGACCTGGTTTGCAATTAGACGTGCTAAAGCAGTCGAACATAAGGGGACACTTACTCCATCAGTGCGTAGTATGGTCGAAGAAAACTATGAGTCTTCAACAGCCTTTGCTGTCACTGGGATAAGCGAAATGGAGTTCCAAATTCAAGTTCCATCCGGCTATTTCCACACTGTTAACTTACTTTCTGGAACATGCACTTGTAACAAATTTCAGCAGCTCCGTATTCCTTGTACACATGCGATTGCAGCTGCGGGAAGAGCAAATATTTCAACAGAATCAATGGTTGCAGCTGCATACTTTGCAGAAACGTGGCACAGTGGCTATGAGGAAAGGATTTTCCCCGTACCTTCAGTTGGTGGAACAGAAAGCGGGGGTACGTTTTCTGGAGATCTACTTCCTCCAGATGTCAGGCGTCCCCCAGGGAGGCCTAGGAAACAGCGCATTCTATCAACCGGTGAAGATAAGGTACACTCGTTTTTGTCATCCCTATAATATAACCTACTATTATGTACAATTGTTCTTCTAATGATGCGGTTGAATATAAGGTACCCATGTTTCGGTCATTACTATACTAAAGTATACAATTAAGTATAATAGTGCTGCTACAAGAGTTGGTGAAGATAAAGTATCAATATTTCCTTAAGCGACAGACCATACTATACTATACGAGGATGTATAATAGTCACTATATTAAAATGCTTCCATGTCAATATTTTCAGCGCCAACCATTAACGGGATGTAGGAAATGCAGTCGTTGCGGAGGCGAAGGCCATAACAAGGCCTCTTGTCGTCGTCCCATCTAAGTATTGTATGGACAACGGAAGAAGGGGTTGGAGAAGGTGGGTCAGGAGAAACTTTTTTGTGACCCCTCTACAATATCGTATAACCAATCTTATAAGATGGTGTTATCTTTCGGTACCAACAATGGTGTTTTCAAAGTTCTGAAATATTTCGGTATACTGCTACTGTGAAGTATACGGTAATATTTTGGAATATTCCATCAGTTGGTTTGAGTAATCAGGCTATCAAATATTTTGTGTTGCAGCTGTAAAATAGTTGCCAAAATGCTACCCTTCTCCCTTTTGGTTGTAAACATGGCCCCATATGAAACGTGGCTACCTTTTGTGTAATATAAATGGTCATGCTAAGTTTGTTACATTCCTATACTGATCTTTTATATCAATAGGATAGTATCGTAATATATATATAAGTTGACACAAAATTGACCTTTAACTTAACCATACTATTTTACAATATAATGTAAAATAGTTTCGTTTATAATCCAATGATTGAACATCAACTGCAGAAAAAGAGCTGCATTTGCAAAGTGTTTGTATTTATCCAACTGGCGAGGGAGACCTTAACAGAACCAAATTTTAATGTCGACGAAAGTACGGCACAAAAGGGAACATATGCAACATGATGTACTAACAATTATACGCTTAGTACTATACTATGATGAGGTTATGCCATAGTACAAAAGCTATAACCGTAGTCATTCCATACTCGTGTACTATACTATGGTGATGTTATGCCATAGTACAATATCTATAACCGTTGGCATGCGATACCAGTGTAAAAAGATGGATACAAGTACCAGCAGCACCCAAAAGAGGAGTACCTTTTCCTTTCCAATGTCTATTGTGGTCAGGTAACACCCTTCTCTCTGCTTGTACACCTCCAAGGTCAAGCGGTTGGTCCCATAAATAATGTGTACTATAGCCAACTTACCAAGACGACAATTTTGTAACAAGTGGAATAGTATCCTTAAATATAGTTATATTTTTCAACATGGCAATTCAATGGCTACTCTGCTAGTACATAATACTAAACTATTACTTCCCTCCTAAACACATAAAGTTAGTAGAGATACATAGAAGTTTGAGTTGAGTTAAGTCTTGAAAAACGCCATATGAAATAAAATAGGTAGCATCAAGTTATAATATAAGTTACCTAGTAAGTAGTACAGCACACCGAAATTATGCATAACAAACGCTATGAAATAAACACCACCACAGACGGCGTTCAAACTAGAACGTTCCATTCCTAGTAATAAGAGAGGACTAAAAAGTGCAGAGTTCCGTTAAGGAATAAATCAGTCCACAGTGTAGTTTGCAAGGACATCTGGCATAAAGGTCGAGAAAGCTTCAAATGCATACGTCTGAGCTGCAACTTCAAGATCGGAAGTTGTAATACTCTCTGCCCCCTTTAGACTATCTGATGCATGAAGTTCCATTCCTAGCATCGTTGCAACACATGATAACCCTGCAAAATAAAAAACAATGTTATACATCCATCTTGAATGCTGTGAAATATACAGTCCAGACTATATAGAAAATAGAATGGAATGGCATACCAGGAGGTTCACACAAAAATGGAAGCTCGATAAGATGCAGAGGAAGCGGTCCTGCCATAGCAGTGGCGGAGCATGATTCCTCTCCATTAAGGCGAATCAGTAGAGGCATAAGGACTATAATAGGCTGAAGTAAGACTTCCAATTTTGCAGAAGGAATACAAGTTGGGTTGCAGTCTAGCACATAGATGCACCAATGGACTATATCGATGCATAAACCTATCCAATGCGTACCAAGTTGACAGGGGCAGTATAAGACATCTACATTGGCAGACCACTTCATATTTGCCAAACCTTGCTTTCCAAATTTGTTGGAGAAGCTGAATTTCCCTATGTCATTAACCCGAGAAAAGTTGTGGTACTCCGTACGCAAGGACTCAACGAACGTCGCAGGGAGGAAATCATAAGCAGTAATACCGGAGCGACGAAGACGTGCCCGAATAAACGTGACGGCCATGTCTGCAGTCTGTCAAACATAAAGTTAATTAGCTGAATTCACGTAACTTAGGATATCATTAAGTATACCTTCGTCGTTTGAGGATGAGTTGCTTCAAAGAAGGTGACGAAATCCGCATTAGAAACAATAACACCTTCCCCAATATTATATTCCCTACAAGTAAGCATGGTCAGAATATGTGGGTGAATAGAAACGAAAAGTTTGGTTGGTGCGTTACTCTGGCGTATGGAGAAGGGTCCGAAACCGTGCAAGGTGGAATGCATTCACGCGAACACACGGGTTAAACCCACCAACCAACGGTCCTATTTGTGTCGTCGTCATAAAACTACCTGTTATGTTCTGGGGTGGAACTACAGAAGGTATACTCACCGCCGGCAGGGGCGCCGGAGATGGTTTCGTCTTCTTTGCAAGTTGTGTACGTTTCTTCTTAGCAGCAGCAGGAATTTTGGTCTTCTTAACTACATTTCCTGGTGGGGTATACTTTATCGGAGGTCCTCTCTGCCGTTTACTAGCCCGTGTCTCAGCTGCAATTGAGGCAAGGGACTCCGATCCCTAAAAGCGCATAACATAACAAATTGTCAAATCATTTCTTTATTACTTTAATGATGTCATACAAGGAGTTCAAGATAGAATATGAAACTTTACTATACTATACTACAAATTTCTACTCTAGTATGTGTCATACATGCCTCTCCCACATACTGCATGTAAATGTTTTGCTTCCTATACTACTTTAAGTTTAGTTTAGTATAACATAAATTATATATGTAAATATATACACACAATTCCAAGTCTATTGGGGAACCAACCTGGACCTTGTCTTCCATAGCAACATTAGTTTCCTTACGTTTAACCTGGTCACCAGTCCGCCCTTTCTTTTCCGGAGCATCCAATGTATCAGTTGGTGTCTGGACTGACTTCTGCGGAGAACTGGAAACCAATGGATTGACGTCTTTGCAAAGTGCTTCAGGAGGTTCCTGTAATGAATCATGTTCTCATTTCACCAAAGGAATCAAAAGTAACAATCTGCAGGCCTTACTAAACCAAGAATACTACATAAATAAGATACAGACAAAGCATCTCGATTTCCAACACTGCTACAACCATTTGTTTAACAAATTTATTCAGCACTACACATTTTTCATCATTATTCAGCTAACCATTTGTACACCAAATTTAACACTAAACTTACACTCGCCTCTTCTGCAACAACTGTATCCAAAACATGGTTTGCTGAATCTGAAGCCTGTCCACCAACTGGAGATGTAACTCCACTATCACCAGCCACCTGCCACACGTCATAGCATATTAATGTTTTCTTAAAGTATAAGTTTACAATAGATGGCCAATGACATCATCAACTTATTCCATACTATACAGCTACATAGTATATATTATTAACTTACAGGGATAGGCCCCTCGACATCGGCATCGGCATCCATGTTTGTTGAAGTGCCACCCACTTTCGCCACCGAGGACGTACCCCCACCCTCGTCATCCACCTGTCCAATACAGAAATTGACAAGCATTTGTTTAAGTCTTGATTTCCATTTCACAGAATGGAACATTTATAACTTAAACGATACTATAACAGTACATAGTATAGTCTACTACAGTATCATGTCTCTGCAATCTAACTAAACTTATGTCCATTTAAAGAGGGCCAAAACATTGTGTGCGTTGCATAAAACTAAATTAACCTCCTAAAAGCATCACATATGAAGAAACAATGAGAACTGATATTCCATTGCTAGAACAGAAGGGTCCCATTAGCTTACATTGATCTCTCGTGCAATATCCATAACATCGTCAATATTTTCTGCTTGACCACCAACGGTGTCCAATGGTGACGAACCTCCACCATTTCCAGGCACCTGAGCAATGCCATAAACATCAACAACAAATTATAGCCAACTTTCGAAGTGAAGGACATATAGGACTTCTCTATACTATTACAGTTAGTAGTATAGTATACGCATGCACACGCTATATTTATTGCTGTAAGACATCAAACTTACGGTGCTTTCAAATCCACCCCCCATGCCAGTTGTTGCTGCACTCCTATCACCTGTTGCATCTGTAACAATGGTCCATCGTTAGTCACCTGCCAACCCGAGAGTAGTGAAGTTCATACTGATTGTAACTAACCTTCAGCTGTCTGTTGCCGTTGTCTATGGAGGACAAATCCGGAATTCATCGGATCCGCCTGAGTACTTGGTGGTCGGTTACGGAACCCCATTGCTTCCATAAATTCTTCATGCTGGAGGTGCAATTGGATGGTCAATGCAGTTTTCACCGATGTTATTTCCCGTTCAAAGTGCTCTTTCATACTTCGACAGCAACCTTCAAAGATTGGAACTGTGAGTTGCTTAAAAGACTCTCCCGCCGTCGTTAGTAGAGTTGCTAGATCAACATCTTGTCCGTTATCTCCAGCACTATTGGAAAACGTTGGACGCCTCTGCTCCGCCTCTGTTCCATCATCTGTTCCTTCCTCGCCTACTACGTCTAACCCCCTACCGTGCTTCCCATTACTTGCCTTCACACCCCCACGCCAAGTATTGATCTCAAACGGGAAATCTTGGCGAATCAAGGTGACCATGTGCCCAACCCTAACATCAGCAACCTCATCTTCAAATCCTGGTATCTCATCAGTCTCACATAAAAGTGAACGAACTTTAGCCTAAAAACCAAAAAAAAGTTAGCCAACTAGTTGCCTTTGGAGAGAGGTAAATGCAAAATATAACACAAACTTTCTTCTACAATACCTGACCAATTATCTCCAAAGTTTGAACGGTGACGACATTAATTTTAATACTTCTCGCACAAACACCATCGACAATGTCTTCAATAGGGAGTGACTCATCCAGAAGGTCAGCCCCGGCACGTACATCTGCTATGATCTGTGGGCAGGCACATACCGTTACAAGCACAATTGCATGTGCNCTTTCTTCTACAATACCTGACCAATTATCTCCAAAGTTTGAACGGTGACGACATTAATTTTAATACTTCTCGCACAAACACCATCGACAATGTCTTCAATAGGGAGTGACTCATCCAGAAGGTCAGCCCCGGCACGTACATCTGCTATGATCTGTGGGCAGGCACATACCGTTACAAGCACAATTGCATGTGCAAATCCAGGAATGGCGACAGTATCTTGTGTATACTGAGCAGCAGAACGGGGCTTTGCACTTCCAACGGTTAACAAAAACGACTCCCTCCCCCACGGATATTCCATAAATGCATCTATATCACCAAGCATCTCCACAACTTCAGGCCTAATTTGTGTTGTTCCACTAGTTGGGCACAAAATACCTTCAACAAGAAGTAGTAGAGCTAATCGTAGTTTTGTGTCCTCGTCTTTGCATTTATCTTTCTGCGTCAAACGTCCAATAATACCTTCGGCTGTGATTTTCTCCTCTTTCCCAAACAGTGATTTCCAAACTTCACCACTGCCACTGCCTTGCTTTACCTTTGCTTTACCCTTCTTTTTTCCTTTTTCAATAGGAGGAAGCCCCAACGCATTATCTGGAGGTGTTCCACAATTAAGGCCCGTAACTAAAGCAAAGTCTCCTATCGCGTAACGGATGGGCTTTCCAGCAAACGTCCACCATAGCTCATATTTTTTGTCCGTCACCAGCTGACGAGACAATATCTGATGACAAAACATGACTGAAAATGTATGGCTCCCCATTAACATAATTTGCCTGAACTGAGACTCTGCAATCTTCTCCTGCCATGTATCAGACAAAGACTCTTTTATCACCTCCACCCATCTCAAATTGAAGTAGTTGTTTATTCTCTTCCGGCCAGTTGGTTCAAAACCCGTCTCAAACAAGCGCTGCGGTAAGCCAAACTCCTCCATAATCTACAAGAAAAAAGTTAAACATTATAAACCTTACAATATACAAGAAAAGCCAAAAGCAAGTAACGAGACAACAAACTTGTAAACACCATTATTATCTAATGATATATTGTCATGGAAATATATCTATACTATAAGTTGTTTCCCATAGTATAGGCCAGTAATGAAATACATCAATGTCCAATATTACCTCTACTATAAACGGTTTCCAATACTATAGGCCTCCTACTCTATACACATATATAAGATGACCACAATACTTACCTTTTAGGCATCTCACTGTAGCCATACTATAAACATTTTAATATAGTATAGTACACATTTGATGCACGAAGAACCTCTAATATACATGTTTTCAAATAGTGTCCGTACTATATACGTTGGTCAATAGTATCCGCTACCTACTATATCCACATATATACATGGTAGCAGTAAACCATTATAAACCTTACAATATACAAGAAAAGCCAAAATGCAAGTAAGAGGACAATAAACTAGGTAATATAACTATACTATAAGGTCTTTCAAATAGTAAAGTCCACCGATTGAATATATCAATGTCAAATGTTATCTCTACTATAAACGTTTTCCAATATTATAGGCATCCTACTCTATACTCATATACTCATACAACAATACTTACCTTTTTGCCATCTTAGTTTAGATATACTATAAAAATTCTCACATAGTACACATAGTATAGTCCAAATTTGATACAATTCACATATGTACTTTTAACTTATAGTCTACTCCTATACTTGTATAATGATTATCGATAAAATGTAATAACCAAAGTCTACTCCTATACTAATCCAAAACTAATCCAATAGTATAGGCATCCTAGTCTATACATATATAATCATACAACGATACTTACCTTTAAGCCATCTTAGTTTACCTATACTATACAAATAATCACATAGTATAGTCCACATCATTATACTAGAAAAGCCAAAATGCAAGTAAGAGGACAATAAACTAGGTAATATAACTATACTATAAGGTCTTTCAAATAGTATAGTCCACCGATTGAATGTATCAATGTCAAATGTTATCTCTACTATAAACGTTTTCCAATATTATAGGCATCCTACTCTATACTCATACTCATAGAACAATACTTACCTTTGTGCCATCTTAGTTTAGATATACTATACAATTCACACATAGTATAGTCCAAATTTGATACAATTCACATATGTACTTTTAACTTATAGTCTACTCCTATACTTGTATAATGATTATCGATAAAATGTAATAACCAAAGTCTACTCCTATACTAATCCAAAACTAATCCAATAGTATAGGCATCCTAGTCTATACATATATAATCAGACAACAATACTTACCTTTAAGCCATCTTAGTTTACCTATACTATACAAATAATCACATAGTATAGTCAACATCATTATCCTCAACACATCACTTGGTCCGAGAACCAAAAATCGGAAACCCACTTTTCAAATACATTCCGGCAACAATGTAAAGTAATATTCAATCAATAACACAAGTTATATCCAAAAAAAATCTCACTTTTGTCATAAGAAGGTAGATCGGACAACATGCAAGTGAGTTTTGGGGGAAATTATTATTGTAACCATTACCGACACAAAGGTATAACACAGTGGCCGGAATTGTGCCGAAGGTTGTAAAATCGAATACATAGTCAAGGTAATTACAAGGTTTACCTTCCCGATTTTGATTTTTATGACCTCGGCTCCGATGGATCTTTATCATACACCTTCTCAATCGGTTACTTAAACCAAATCTCGCTCCTCGTCGTCTCTTATGTGGCTTCTCCGCCGTGAGAATTTTTCGTCAGAAGTTGGAAGCCTCAGTCGCCGGGTTTTCTAATTTTGTAAGCGGGAAATAAAGAACTGATTTTTAGGGTTATGGAATGAGGGAGAGATGATATCCACGCGCATAAAGAAGGGTATAGTGGCCATTATATGCACTTTTGTGTATCATACCATACCCATGGACTTACTATGGGTATGGATTGTTTTTTTCCAAAACTTATAGTTATTAGCCCAAATTTCCCTTTATAGAATGATTAGTTGTTTCTAAAAAAAAAGAAATGTATTTTTGACAAAAAATGAAAAACGAAATGTATTTGGAATACATGTAAAAAAAAGTTTGTCAACATGTGGGTAACCAACCTTCCGCAGGATAGTTGCGGATCAGATTCAATCTTTTCGTAAACACTTTATAACCCAATTCTATGTATATGTTACTATCCACCATTATGGAGTGAAATTGTCACATAGCGACGTGATCGGTAGTTATTTGTCACGGAATGACTATGAATTAAGTAGTCATGAAATGACGATACGGATTGGTTTATGTTGGACGTCGCTACGGACTTTTCAGAGTCGCGGCCATGACAAAACCGTTAGCCACATCCGTAGCTATGTACAACATCAAAAAAGTTGGGACTAGATGATTGAGCTCAACACTGAGAAGTCGAAAGCCTCTAACCTGTAGGCTGAGCCATTGACTTAAAATCAACATCAAAGTTATGACACATAAGAGCATGTGCAACAAAGTTTTTTAACCAATCCTTAACTGTTACAAAATTAATAAAATAATTGTATAGAACCTGTTTTTTTAGGTTGTTGTACCACAAAAATCTCTTGTAGTCCCTCATTAAGGATTCATTTTTATCCAGTATAGTCACTGTTCGTAGGTCCTGAATGATCATCATTTTCTTTTAGCTTAAAGAAAAATAAATAATAATTAAAATTTCCGAATTACTATTCTTAAAAATTTGTGTCCAGATACGCGATTGCTGATGCTCTAAATATTTAGTTAATAGACTTTAAAATATTACTTTATTTAAATATTTTTTTATTGCTTTACTAGCTTTAGCCGAAAACCAGTTCTAATAAGTACTCCATCCGTTTCAGTTTAATTGTCATTCTAGGTTTTTGCAGACAGATTAAGAAAACATTTAATTTTACATATTTTCAATATAAAAACACATTTACCAATAAATCTAACCACTTTTTAACCAATAGAAAAATAGATTATCATATAAATCTAATAAATATTGTCTCGAAACTCTAAAACGACACTTATTTTGAAATGAAATTTTTCTTCTAAAATGACATCTAATTTGAAACGGAGGAATTAGTAATAATTGGGAAAATATTAAGTATATTTGTCTTCTTCCTTTCTCAATTCTGTGCATATACTCATGACATGTCTTCCATTCATACCCGACTTCAGATCCTCTACGACTACAATACAAATACAAGCTTGTAGAGTTTCTGATATATATCTTTGATTTTTAATGTTTTTTCATAGTGGATGTAGGAAACAAAACAATATAAAAAATTAATATTTTTTTTAAAATAAAACTTTGTTTAGTGATAATGTGATAAGATATTGTGAATAAAATGCACATTAGTGTGAACCATTTTTCCTGGGAGCTGAAATCTTTTATTTGATGCATAATGACTATGTGTCTAAGACTACAGTAACTTACTATATATCGCAGCCTGTTGGTGAAAAATAAAGAGGCTGGTCCCCAAAGCTTAAAACCCCACTCAATAAAACCCAAGACGTGACTTATTTGAAGAGAGCCCCCATCTTTCTATTTTTGGCAATGAGGTCCCCTTCCCATTACGTCTTGAAGTGGACCCTGTCTATCTATTTTTAGCAGGTTAATCCTACGGTTCTTATTCCTTCTTCAATCCTCCACGACATCGCCTGATAACCGTCCGATTCAATCTCACAGCCAATGGACCACTTCACCAGTACTCCGCAACTTAGCTGTCCTGTAGGAAGTTTTTCACGTGGCATTTATTTGTAGTGCAACTTGAAAGTTGATGTGTCGTGGTCTCCACCACCGTTCATCACCGTTTCTTTAGCATCAAGATTCTATCTTTCCTACGTGTAATAGCATGTTTGATTTTGAGAACTCATCATTACCGTTGGATCTCATCGATGGATACTTATTCTTGGTAGGTCCTTGTGTGTGTCTTCAGGGCATAAGATCCCACAGAGAAAATGAGTAGTGCTTCTTTATTTCTTTCATATTAACCCTTTTTATTTATATTCGACGATGTCCACTTATGAATTATTTATATATCTTACAAGATCTCACGTCTTATCAATTAAAATATAGTATGCCTTACAGAATTTTGTTTTCCTTTGGATAAAAATGCCTTAGAGAGACTTCAAGAATGTCTTTGGTTTCTTGAAATGTTAAAAAACTAAAATAGTACTATTGTTTGGTTAGATCGACCATATGTATGATACATGAGGATTATTTGAAGTTTCTCGACGTAAAAGAAAAGTCGAAGGAGATAGTACAAGAAGAGAAGGAAAAAAAAAAACAGAAAATCATTGGTACCAATGACACATCAGTAAATAAATAGTTGAATGTACTTTAGCTTCCCTTTAATTTAATGCACAACATCTTTATCAATTGTCGTCATCATATATTGAAAAATATGACCACAGCTTATAAGATAATACGTACTTGACTTATACTTGTATTCTCATCATACTCTTCTAATTAATTTTGATGCAAGTAATTTAATTGCTTAGTTATTTCTTACATTAATAAAAGCAAGTAAAAGGTCTTAATCTCGAGTCGTACTTAATTAGGAATAAAAATATTATTAGAACGTTACAAATTTGCTTGAAATGCTTAGACGATCAAGCTAGAGAATCAACTTTCAAATCAGAGAAAAATAAGCTTATATAACCAAACAAAAAAATAATGCTATGTTTACTTTTTCTAATTGAGTCATATTTTTGTGTCCATCACCTACTTATCGATCAAAATAAAGCACTAAGAGTTTTGGTCGGACATGATCTTTAACATCGGACGAACCCTAAGATAACCAAATTAAATTGTAACCTATATTCAAACTCTGTTTATTCTATCCATTTATGTTTTCTATCAACTTTGTATGTATTTATTTGTGTCTCAGACTCGCACACCAAAATAAAGTTATCAATATCGTAGTCATGTTCGATAAACTAATAAACAAACATTTATAGTTTATGAGTCATTTTTAGTAGAAACAAAATTTCAGTAATTAAAATATCTAGCGCATTGTAAAAAGAAACAAATCTAGCAGTAAGAATTTCGATGTCATCACAATATAAACGAATCATTTTTACACCAATCACAGGGATAGTTTTGTAAGTTAGAAGACCGTAGAAGGGCTCGCCTAGTTAAGGTTAGGTCGCATGATTCCTGAATTCGATTACAAGAATAAAAAAAAATGTATTTATAAATTCAGGTGGATTTAGCAGACCCTACCATTCAGCTAGCGACACGTGTCAAAACTCATTCATTACCCTACTCTTTTCAGTTTAGGGTTGCCATCACTCATCAACCAATGTCCGCTCAGCATCGTTTCTCCACCGTTGATTTAGCTAATGTCTAATTTTCCAATATCTACGTCTCTATCACCACATTAAACTAATGCTTTAATTTAACGGTGTTAAATGTTAGGGTTTTAAATCTTATTAATCCTCCATAATAAAAGTTTAAAAAAGCATCCAACTTTCTTTAACAGGGCCAAAGCCAAATTTGTCTTAACTATAAACTAAAGATTGAAACTGAAACCACTACTAGTGTTTGGTGAGATTAGTGGGAAGCTCTTTCTCTTCTATTACCAATTATGTATAAACAAAATGACCCAAATTTCTAGGTTTGAAAATATCTAAGCATCGATTGAGTAGTTTACATTTCCTGTTTGAAACATTTTCATAAATCCTATGTGATGGTTTGTAACTTGTAAGTAGCACACGTACAATAATTGAAGGGTATATAAAAAAAGAATAATGAAGCTGACAAGTAAATGTACTTTAGAGAAGTGATGTGAGATACATATTTATTTGTACAAATTAATATACGTTCACAATAAAAATTAGAAAATAAGAGAAAATAGAAAGAAAATAAAAAGGGAAAGAGAGAGAGGCTCATTCATACATATATATATATATATATAGAAGAAGGGAGAGAGAGAGAGAGAGGGAAGATTAAGAGAGAAAGAAAAAAATGGGAAGAGGGAGAGTAGAGTTGAAGAGAATAGAGAATACGATCAATAGGCAAGTGACGTTTGCAAAGAGAAGGAATGGTGTTTTGAAGAAAGCATACGAGCTTTCAGTTTTATGTGATGCAGAGGTTGCTCTCATCATCTTCTCTAATAGAGGGAAACTGTACGAGTTTTCCAGTAATCCGAGGTATTTTTTGTTTTATCCATTTTTATCTATTGATTTGATTTATGTAAAAGAAATGTGTTGTATCATGTATGGGTCTTTCTTATGTGTTGTTTGTGTCGTACGTTTTTTTTTTCTTTTCATCCTTTAAAAGAAAGCAAAGAGGAAACTAAAATGATTTATAACCTTCTTAATATGTTTCTGATGATTTCCATTTCTGTTTTGATTTCTCTCATCTGTATTTTTTCAATTTATTTTTGTTTTTGCATGGTTCTAATTTAGATGACGATATCGCAAGAATTATGAGTTGATTTAATATAGATGAATAATTAATTTACATAGAAATGAGTTTTCTATCTTTTTGATCCAAAATATACGATCATATCAGTCACCAATATTGCAGTCAAATTCAGAAGTTTTGGGGGCGATTCAGTACTTAGCTAGGGCTTATTGGCTACCCTTCTGTAACCCTTAAGGGCTTCTAATTTTGATTTCATTTTGATGCTAATATCAAATTCATCTTGCAATATCCATTAAATCTCAGAAAAGACTTCCAGAATTTTCTGTAAACCATAGCTAGAAAACGTTTTAACCATATTACGGAGGTAAATTATGATACATGACTAATTAAAACTGATCATTTTTGTTGTGAAGCAGCATGCTTAAGACATTGGAGAGGTACCAAAAGTGTAACTACGGACCTCCAGAGCCCAATGTGCCTTCAAGAGAGGCCTTAGCAGTTGTACCTCCCCCTCATTCTCGTTCTTATTTTTGTACATTAATTTTTCTTTTTTCCTAATACTTTTATTAATACGAATCCAATAATGTTATTTTTTTGGCAAAGCAGGAACTTAGTAGCCAGCAGGAATATCTCAGGCTTAAGGAGCGTTACGACGCCTTACAAAGAACCCAAAGGTAAATTAATTGTCTAATAATGAAGCTAGCTAGTACTGCTAGCCAGAGAGAGTTTTTTTTTAATTACATTAGAATTTAATTATGTTGGTATTTTTTGTTGGTCTTGAAATAATATAGGAATCTATTGGGAGAAGATCTAGGACCACTTAGTACAAAGGAGCTTGAGTCACTTGAGAGACAGCTTGATTCTTCTTTGAAGCAGATCAGAGCTCTCCGGGTACTATACTTTTTTTTTTCTCTCATCATATATGCTGCTATCTAATGTCCATATAAAGTAATACGCTATATTAAACTTGCAGACACAGTTCATGCTTGACCAGCTCAATGATCTCCAGAGTAAGGTAACAAAAAAATTTAAAGGATGAACCAAATGACATAAATGTCATGTATACACTAAGAATACTCACTCTCCTATGAATACTATTTTGTAACAGGAGCGCATGCTTACTGATACAAACAAAACTCTACGTCTAAGGGTGATTATTTACATTCTCATCTTTCACAACAATTATTAATTTGGTTATTATTTTTAAGAAATTGATCCACTAATTAACAAGTGTACTACGTGGCAGTTAGCTGATGGGTATCAGATGCCATTCCAACTCAACCCGAACCAAGAAGAAGTAGATGTTGACTATGGGCGTCATCAACAACAACAACAACAAGCTTTCTTCCAGCCTTTGGAATACGAACCCATTTTTCAAATCGGGTAACTAAACACTATACAGTACTATATGTAATTATTATTTAATTTTGATCTCCTTAGTAATGTGTACATATAAGATTTGTCTTGGTAACGCTGGAACAGGTATCATCAGGGGCAACAGCAAGATCATGCAATGGAAGCAGGACCAAGTGCGAGTAATTACATGTTGGGTTGGTTGCCTTATGACACCAACTCTATTTGAAACTTTCTTCATATCTCTTTTTGACATTTTTATATCAAAACTTTCTCCTAGCTCACCTCTTACTCTTAGGCTACATGATGATTACCTCTCTCTTTATTTCTGTCTTGTGTGCAAGTGTGTATGTGTGTAACGTTTATTATGATGCCTTCTATATTTCAATAATTTTAAAAAGAAAAGTATACTCCGCATATAATTTGGCCATGCATTCCTACACTCTGTCACACTAAAATCCTGAGTATATATGCTGCTGTGTACTTCAAGTTTGTTTAAGTACAGCATATGCTCCAAGTTTCAGAAAAGGTTTAGCTCCCATTTATGGATTTGAATAAGTTATAAGCTAACCATTAAGTATAGTGTACAGTGGATAGGAGTGTATGTAATATAACTAACAGTAGATATTCCAGAGGCTCATGTATTTATGCATACGAACATATGTCTTTAGGCCCACCTCTAATATACTTTCGGCCTATCTTTATACTATATAGGCCTGTTAAAGGCCCATATTTCACGACCTTGTCAAAACATTCACTAAACGACCTCAGCTAAACCAAAATCAGAAACAAAAGAAAGTCATTAGACAAAAAAAAAAAACTGGTGGTGAAAATCATCATATGTGCGAGTCACATGCAACAAAATTCAATTGCTAGTTTGTTGGTGAATAAATAAATTCTTGTTTAGGCTGGTTTTTAATGATAATTAGTGATGTGAATTTATTATTTCTCAGTGTAGTACATCCACATGAATTCCAGTATAATTATTTCACAAATTATTATTCTTGTTATTATTGTGAATATGATGGTTCAACGCAAAAGAGCTCGATTGAATAGACAAGTCTATAAAGTGCAGACATTTTCCTAAAATCAATTCTCTTATTTAGATTCAAACAAAATAACCAAAAGAAAAATACAAAAGAAAGCATGATTGGAACAAATTTATTACAGAGAGAGAGAAAAAAAAGGTTAGATAAGAATGTCGTAGAAGATAAGCACTCTACGCGTCAATAACGGGACCCACACTCCCCCCCTCAAATTGGTCTGAATCCAACATGTCCATACTCGCCTCACCCTCGCGTGTTCACACGCGTGTCTTGTTACTTTATGGTTGCGTTTTCTCGTTATCCAGACACACACGATTCCTCTGTTCATCAAAGAAGATTTATATTGGCATTGATTGGTAACCATGCGGAATGGCGGAATGGCTTATGAAACGCGATTCCGCAAGAATTTTGCCAATCAACAAAATGTTGCGGAATGAAAAAAAAACGCGAAAACGCAATTTTGCGTTTTTGCTGACAAAAATATAAAGAGAAAATTTATTAAGTGGAAAAGTGAGTTTTAGTAGATTATGGTGGAAAGATTTACAAACTAATATTTTCATATTATTAAATTATATGCTAATACTATCTTAAAATATAAAATACATATCAATAATTTTTAATGATAAATAACTATGTTGTAAATAAAGTTCTATTATAATTTATATATTAAAAAAATCTATTTTTAAAATGTATTGAAAGATATGTTAGATATTTATAATAAAAACTAAAATGTTTTTAATAAATTTTAGTTGTTTTCACTTTTGTAATAATTAGTTTAATTATTACTAGTTGTTTTTTATAACAAATTAAAAACCATATAAAATATTTTANTATATATTAAAAAAATCTATTTTTAAAATGTATTGAAAGATATGTTAGATATTTATAATAAAAACTAAAATGTTTTTAATAAATTTTAGTTGTTTTCACTTTTGTAATAATTAGTTTAATTATTACTAGTTGTTTTTTATAACAAATTAAAAACCATATAAAATATTTTAATCAATTTAATATATATTCCGCCATTCCGTAAATTTTAAATTTTTCCACGATTTAATTAATTTTTTCCGCAACTTAACTATTATTTCCGCGATTCCGCGATTACGCGATGGTTACCAATCGGAGCCATTAAAGAAACAAAAAAAGTCAGTTTCAATTTGCTCGTCTGTGTTTTCTGTTCTGTCTGAACGTTTCATTTATCATCAGTTTCACAAATCTCTCGGCATTAAACCTTTCTTTATTTGTGAATGATGAGAAGCCAACGAGATCAAGACTCCAGAGCCTTCTACGATCTCTCAGCTCTTGTCCTGAGCCTCCTCCGTTCTCCTCCGATGCCGATTTCTCTCCCCGATCACTTCCCTGATTCGCCGATGATGATGAGAAGTCGGTCTCCTTCGATGGCTCAAATATCTCCGTCGGGATTCGCGTCTTTGCTTCTTGGTATATCGGTGGCTCTTATGCTTTGTGGATCTGTGACTTTCTTCATCGGCTTCCTCTTGTTGCCTTGGGTTCTGGCTCTCATCGTGGTTCTTTATGTCGCTGGGATCGTGTCAGCCATTTCCATGGCGGGGAGAGCGATCCTCTCTTACGTCTTGACGCCTCCACCGTATTTTTCATCAAGGAAGGACATTTCTGGTAATTTTGTGCTATCTTTTTGTTTAATTTTCGTGAGGTTTTAGTTGTTTTTGTCAAGATCTTGTTAGGGATAGAGATGGTTGTTTGAATTGAATTAGGGTCAATGAAACGTAACGTGACGGCAACAAACGCAAAATCAAATTCATTTTCACACATTTGCTTTTTTTTCATTTTCTTGTGTTGTTGACTTTCTCTTTCTGAAATTAAATCTATTGTTTTTGAAGCCAATTCATGTTTCTGAAATTAAATCTAATGTTTGGTTTTGATTCCATCATTCCCAGAATGGAAGCTGTTGTGAAGTGAAGAATAACTCTTAAGGAGTTCTAATATAATCCGGAAGCAGAGCGAGAAGAGGATAAATTAAGAAGATGGATTGATTATATAACAACGCAAATCCAGATTAGAGATTTTCTATATATGTTCTTTTTATCTGTATTTTGGGGGGGAACATTATGTGGATATTTGGGAGTTTTTATTAATTTTTTTTACTTTTCAAAAAAATGAATTATCTATTTTACTGTTAGACAAATGGAGAAAAGCCTTCTAGATGAGCTTTTTCTTCCATGGATGGTTTTTATTATCATGTAACATGATTTCTTTATAAAAAGCATAAAAAGATTATAGGATTTCGACTATAGTATATGTCTCAGTTTTGTTGTAACTTTTCCAAGTATTGACATTGGTTAAAAGTTGATAGAAAGGTGTCAGGTCCAAATCATGGGCAACCTCAAATATTGCATTGTTCAGTATGGGGACAAGCTTCATAGTCGAACCAAAACGGTCCTTCTTTGTTAAGTTAACAAAAGCAAACAAACAAACAATCAATCGGAATCCCCAATGCAATCAATTTCTCTGAGAGATAAAAAGAAGAAGAAAATGGTGGAAGAGATACCGTGGCTTATTCAAAAAGCGGTAGGTCAATGGATGTTACGTGTCTAGCAATGACTTAGTTACCTCCATGACAAACGAAGACCTAAGCTAATTAAAAAAATAATAATAATACAAGTGTCAGCAAGAAACATATTTCAACCGGTTCGCCTCTAGCCTCTAGGCTTATCTTTCGTGTACATTTCCTTAATAATTGTTTGATTTGGTGAAATTCGCTATTATCACAATTTTGTTGGCAAAACAAAGCTCCAATTCGTTGTGGGGTTGGATCATTAACAAAAAGTAAGATGAACAGGATGTTTATTTTGTCAGTGTCTCCTTACTCTCATTTGAACAACTTGGGTCGTTGATGTAACAACGAGCTTATCTTTTCAAATTATAATTGTGTGACTAACAAATACTAGTCATTCTCATAAAGTAAAGTTGGTGTCTTTGGCAAGTTGTTGTTTGATGGTTAGAAAAGTCTCTGTATTGCCATTGGACTTGATGACATACTCCCATTTCAAGGATGATGCTACTTTCTGTTTATCAACTAAGTCGAAATCACAAAACCCGTTCCAAAAGACAGTTGGAACTACCAAAGAAGAAGAAGAAGAATGGTTGCCAGGTTCTTAACCATCCAAAGGTCTATAGAAGAAAATGCTAAATACAAAGTGAAGAGGCAAAACTATGTAACCCACATATTGCTCTCTTTTTTGATCATCCTCAGTGACTTAGCAGCTCTGTGAGTACTCAATAATTTACATGACGAAAGAGAGATCAAGACACCCAATCAGATCCATAGAAGGTGTGCTTTCTGGAATGTTCAAAGAGCTACGACCAACGAAGATAAACCATTATGCTTCTTCCAATTCCAAAGAAAAAGACACTGGAGTTCTCTTGTGAGTCATGTTTATATAAATACTAGGTAAAACCCGCCCTACGGGCGGATAAGCACGTTATAAGTAATTGAAAAGAATTACAAATTATAATAAACTGATATTTTCAATTATTTTTGTGTCTATTTTGCGATAAGACTTTAGTAAAATTATGAGAGATATGATTATTAAAAATAATAATGTATTTAAAAAACACAATCGTATTGTGTGCATAGTTTTTTTATATATATATATATATATATATATATATATATTTCCGGAGATCATTTATTCTTAAAGAATAACTTTTTTAGGACTACAAAAATTCATAAGTTTCGAACTAATCGAATTAAATACAAAACTACTTATTTACTTAAAGTTGTATGATGATAGTGTTCATGTTTTATTGGAATAGGTAAGAAAAAAGTGCTAATTTAAATTGAAACCCAAGTGACATGTTTTGTTATTTTTTTCTTATTTTCAATATTTTACTAAACATTTAACAAAATACGATGAACTAAGTTTTGTTTTTGTCAGTAAATTTTTTCTAAACGTTTACATACAATATTACTTTTTCCATTTCACAATAGTTTAAAATAAAAGCATTAATAGTAAGAATGTTGTTAATTTTTAGAACATGTATTTAATTGATAAAATTTACTAATTATAAAAAATGACATTATTTGATTGGTCACATTATATCTAATACATGTAAAAGTTATCTCGATGTGAGGAAATTACATATATTTTGAAACAAAGAAATTCTTAATACTATTTACAATAAGAAACAAAGGGAATACTTTATAGTTTTAAAGAAAATACATTATTTATTTTTTTTTTCATAATAAATACATAACTTAAGAAGAAACTATAATTTATAAAAGAAATGAATGATTATTAAAGAAAGAGATCGAGTTATAAAACCCGCAATTGTTACTTTGTGTCTGTAACTTTAAGAATTATTATTTTTCAATAAAAAACTATAAGATTTATTACTGTAAGTAATTCAGAAACAATATTTGTTGATTTTTAGTATTTATTTGAATTGGATTTTAATTTAAATGTTAGTATTAAATAACTCTATTCAATAAATAACAAAATATCTGATCAGACCACTGTGAAGTCCTTTATACATTTCTTTATATTCGATCTATGGGTTATGTCGACCACTCCGGTGGCTCTCTTCTTGTCAGGAATCCTAAGAATAGTTTCGGTTTCTTCATGCGTATAACTGAGTTGGCGGCGATCAAGATCTAATCTTCAGTTGTGATTCACTTTTTTCATCATTAGTTGATGTCAAAGAAGTTTTGGTTAATTTAAAAGTATCTGAGGTATGTTTTTAAGAAACCTCGATGAAAATAATAAACGTTAGATGTAGAGATTTCTCAGATACTTTTGATTAGCCAAAACACTATATATAATATTTTTTTAAAACATATATTTCAGTAGAATTGCATTAAATAGGTAAAAAAAATGAGATTCATTGAATGATGCCATAAAAATTCTTAATTAAAAATAAACCAACAAACAAATAAAAAAGTCAAAAGATTAACCAAGAACCATGACACATGTCATGTTGAGAAGAGATGAATTAGTGACATGGCACTCTCATGAGAGAAAAGCCTACTTTATATAATAAGATACAAGTGCAATCTGGAAACATGGTCACCCGCATTAACTATTTAAACTTTCAGTTATAGGCATTATCCTTTGCAAGAAGATCAGAATCAAAAAGAATAGGTGTTTTAACAAACTTTTGAAGACGTAAAAGGGTTCCAACAGAGAACCATATTTCAAGAAAACTTGGTGTTTTTATCCTTAAACAATAAGCACTTTCTGAATCATGGATCAATGCCAGAAAACAAACGGAGTCATCTCAACCAAAGTAACAAAGACCTTCCATTGATTAAAATAAAGACACACAGCAACACACCTAAAACAAGCTTTAGTTCTCAAATCTACTAAAAACCAACATAAATTAACCCCCATGATACCATCAGTAACTTGTTGCTTTCGTAACGATGGTTCATCATATAATACCCATCCCATTGCCACCACATTCCTCAAGCATAGTTCAACCTGAATATGTCGTTGAACACGTAGTAGTTTCCCTGGTTCGACACCAAATGGAACATCTAGGAAACAAAAGGTATGTCAGGACGATATTATCACGAACCAGTCAAAATCAAAACAACATGCATTCATCAGATCAAAATTGATATGAATGCATCCCACCACATACCTACCATTAACATTCTACACTTGTATTAGTCTGATCTTTACACATAACTGATAACAAAGACACAAGTAGTATGCCTTGAAATAGAGAAACTAGTAAAAGTCAATGATACAAATACATCATATAGCTCCTATTTGACAAATCTAGTCATGAATCTTCAACATTAAAATAGAAAAAGTCTCAACAGCAGCAGATGACACACACACACACACACATACCACAAGGAACACTAATAGAGCTGACATAATCTAATCAAATTCAGCATAACGTAAAATAGTTAGAAACAGCCAACAATAAGCATATGGTTCCTAACAATTCAATGAGTCCAAAAGGACAAAATCAACATAAGACGAGAATCACATCTATACAAACCCTAATCACGGATCTATCTACCTCTCAATACTTACCAACGAGAATCCATGTCAATTCCAAATCAATCAAAAACTTCAAGTGCCCTAATACCACATCAATCTACAATCAAATCGAAATTACGCCTAGATCGAGGGGGAGAAGGAAGGGAGACCTGGCTGAACTTGAGAGCGTGCTGTTCGCCAGCGAGCTGGAGATTCCCGGAGACGAAGACGAGCATACCGCCTGCGGAACCAGAGGGCTGGCAATCAACGGTTGTGATGTTGTGTTTGCACTGCTGGAAAGGGAGGGAGGTGAGCTTGGCGACGATGTTCTGAGAGCCCTGGATCTTCTGCCCTTCGAAGGTGAGCATGGATCCTTCTTGGTAGAGAGAGAGAAGACCTGCACGATTCGCGTCGAAGGTGGAGTAGTAGTGCTCCACGAAGGCCTTGGCTACTGCGTCTGGATCCATCTCTCTCTCTCTCTTCCTTTTTTTGAGTCTTGCTTTGCTTTCAAGGGAATAGAGAGAGAGAGATTGATGATGATAAAAAAGAGATGAACAGTTACTGAAAAGGCTTCTCATGATACGATTATTGGGCCTTTAAAATTCTAAAATTTGGGCCCGTTAGTATTAAGACGGATACCCATGAGAACAACAAAAAATGCGTTTAACGACCGTCGCATTTTCATTTTCCAATATCCAATGGTTGGTCTCCACGTGTACAGTATTGGTCTCAGTAACCAATGATAGAAAGGCTGTGACGACGTTCATCGATCTCTTTTGTTTTTTAATGTGGTGACAGACAAGCAGACAGGAGGGACAAGACTCTTCCAGACAAAATACGAGTTTGTGTTCGATTCTCTGCTAAATCCTTCTTCAAGTGTTTATTCTCCGGCGTAATAATGGTATTCATTGACTATAACCCTTCTTACGATTTGTTGTGTCGATTGGTTCTTTTTATCGGGATTCATGTTCTGTATTGGCTAAATACATATTTTGTATACCTCCTGATCTGGTTATGTATGTGTGTCACATCATATAAGGATTCCATGAGCTTATTGTATATAATATATATATAACAAAGGAATTTACTCTGTGTTTGAAATCATGGAAAAAATCGAATATCATTACAAAAATTGGATCCTCTTTTGTGTCTGTTATTAGCTAAGCTGAGTTCTTGGTGTTGCTTGGTAATTTTAGACGTAATTCTGATTAGAACATGGTTGAACCGGAATTAACCATTGACTGGTAACTATATATTGCCGGACACAATGTGGGTGGATATTGATTATTGATCGAGTCTTGTGGGTTTGGTTTTGATCACTTGCAGACAACTTCGAAGAGGCTAGCAGACAGGAAGATAGAGAAGTTTGACAAGAACATTACAAAAAGAGGTTTTGTTCCTGAGACCACCACCAAGAAGGGTAAGGATTACCCTGTTGGACCTATCTTGCTCGGTTTCTTTGTCTTCGTCGTCATTGGTTCATGTGAGTATTCCTAATCTCTTTTAGCTTTGATTATGTTGGAAAGCATCTTAGTGTTGACTCTTGGTTTCCATATTCTTCGTATATGGATCATTTGGTTATATACTATGTGTAATTTGTGTGTTACTACTATACACTGTTTGTTAACCTTCTATGCGCTTTGTTACAGCTCTCTTCCAGATCATCAGAACTGCAACTAGCGGAGGCATGGCATAAACGAAATCTCTTCTTCTTTCTTCTCTCACTTTTTTTTTTTCCTTTAATACTACTGTAGAATGCTTTATACTTTCTGTTGTGAAGAATTTGAGAGTAGTTACTGTATGAACTATCAAACCGTTTTGCATTGTCTTCATTAAAGTTAGTTGCCGTTGTTATACTTTTGTATTCTTACTTGGTTCGCCATATTTGATATTACCAAATACAACTAGGTTTTAGATTATTTCTCGCGTTTTAACGAAACAATCAGAGGTTGATCCGACACGCCAAAAGTGGGATGGATTGGTAATGGAAGACACCATACGGACGGTTGGTTGTTGAATCAAAGAGGATCTTCACACGAACAAGTCTCCACAATATGATTTCTTGAGAATTGCATATACCAAATGGGGAACCATAGGGTCTGCCGCATCTGCAAATCAGACAATAGCGGTTGATGCTGGTTGGTCTAGTAACTAAAACGCTGCAATGTGCGTTTGCATATGGGAAATTCAGATGATGCCGATGCTGAGGAAGGTAAATTGACAGAACGAACATTAGGATGAATTGTCTTGGCAACAAAGGTTGTTTGAGGTTGTTGTATATTCTTCGGGACTGTAACATACACTCATGTTATACTCATTACCTTTGAGCTGTTTGGAAGAACTACTTAAACCTGTGTGTAAATCTCTCATAAAACTTGACTAAATCCAGTGGAAACTAGACTTACTCAAATTTAATATACACTGCGTGTGGCGTAACGGGTGAACAAACGCATACCAACAAGAGCATATAACTTGGAAGATATGATAACTTTAACAAAAGACTCTTCATTACATTAACACGCACAATTACAAACAGAAGGTTGCATTCTACAGCTAAGGAGATAAAATAGTCAAGACAGAAGAAAAAGAAAGATTCATTTCTAAAACTTGATTCTTCTAGCTTGAATGTGATTCGGTATTATGCCATACCTCCGCTAGTTGCAGTCCTGGTGATCTTGAAGAGAGCTGTAACATACACATAATATACTGAAACGATTCAGATCCATGGTTCCTTGCAGGTTATCTAAAATAGATACACAAAAACGTACGCGTAGTGTTCTCAGGAACAAAGCCTCTTTTCGTCAAACTTCTCCATTTTCCTGTCTGCGAGTCGCTTTGAAGTTGTCTGCAATTACCAAAACAACGCAAAATCAATCAATAATCATATAGACTATTACTTGTGCGACTGTATATAGTAATGGTTCCTCGCGGATCACTGACCATCAAAATCATAATGAATCTGATCAGAGCTACAAAGAAAGAAGCTCCACGATCCAAATGACGAATCAAAAAACATAGGAAGGGTTTATATAGACAAAAGAAAAATTATACCAATGATTATGACGGAGAAGAATAAACGCTTGAATGGATCAGGTTATCAGAATGATTAAAAGTCATCAGCGCGGTGAATTTCGCCCATGAGAATGCGATTGCTAGTGACTTTGAAACCGAGAAGAGCTGGATCAAGCTGCCTCCCTTTCTTCCCTTTCTTTTTCCCACCGCCGCCTTTGTTTCCATCGTTTGGATCAGAAGGTGGCTCTGCTGCCACTTTCTTCATGCTGCTGCTATTACTATTCTTCAACATCTCACTGAATGACGCCTTTGACCCTTTGTTTCCCACTGCTGTTCTGTTAGCTGCATCCGACATATGTTCGAGCATTCCGTCGTGCGATGATGACGAATGCGATGAGGGAGGCCTTTTTAACAAAACTGATACCTGCCCGTGTGATGGAACAACCAACCTACAACAAAAAGAAGATTTAAATTTTAATCATTGGTAATTTACTACTCACCAAATCTACGGTTGCTAAACGTCAGAATACAAAATTACCTATCCTTTCTAACTTCTCCAACCAAGTTGTCGTTGTATGACTCTGCAGCAAGAAAATATCGAGATAAGCCCCCACAACAAAAACATGATAAATTCAGGGAAAACAAAATCTAAAAGATGCAATAACTCTACAAGATACATACCAGAGATACTGAAAGAAGACTGTTTGCCAAGCGTACCAACGGGAACCTCCCTTTGAACCAAGGAGTCCATTACAGCTTGCTTTCCCATTCTGTCTTGGGCTTCAAATGACATCAATCCCGCTCCTTCCTTTTTTGGTGGGGCATTGTTCCACGTTTTGATGTCATTCGCGTCTTTGCCCATAACAAACATATTACTGAAGTCTTTAGTTTCATTTTTTCTTCCACCATCGATACTTCCAGAAAGCAATGGATTATTACGCTGCAACGATCCCATATAGTTCCCATCTCCTGGTAATCCGTTTACATGTTCATCAGAAGATGCATGCGACCCAAACGAAGACGCAGCGTTTTGTCTACCACCATGGTCTGCATGGCCGAAGCCTGAAGGAGCCATCCTGTCGTAGGGTTCCCCACGATTAATGCTTGGTGACTCGACGGATTGATGGCCAGGCCTCTGGTGAAGCAGCTCCATGAAAAGCTGTTTTGACTTTTCATCTGTATGTCCATCTACCATCCATGAGTTGGAATCTCCCCCCGGTCTCCTCATTTCTGACCTGATTTTATGATGGTCAGCATCAGTATTTGATCTATGAAATTGATTTTCGGCCCAGCCACCAGCTAGCTGGGTATCTGCTCCTTGCCAGCGTTCTTTCCTTTGTTCCAATTCTGGAAAATGAGGTTCACCTAATTGTATCTGGGAATTCTGATGACTGAAACCCGGAGTAGAATTTCCTAATCTACCAGATGATTGCATGTGGGCAGTAGCATCCTGCAACTCTGAGAATCCAAGACCTTTTACTGCATCCAGATTTAGCCCCGAAGCATTTCTGTTTAATGATGTAGATCGCTCAAATGGTAGACCTTGCTCGAATAATTCCTGACTAAGTTGTTGCTGATATGAAAGGCTCCGCTCATGATGACCAAAGTGATCCTCAAAGGGTGGCCTCTGCTGCTGTTGATGGAAGTCTCCTGGTCTAAATCCCGTAGAAGAGTGTGAGCGGTGGATCCCAGGATGAGTTCCTAGATGCTGATCATTACGGTTAGATGGCCATAGAGGGTCAACATGTCTATGGTCCTCCAATAGCGCATTGTGCCTCGCTCTATTTGCCAATTGCATGAGCTGCTCTTGCTGCAGCATTTGGTACTCCAATGACCGTAATGATTCAGACTGCATTTGTCCATGTTGAGGGTCAATATGTCTCAGTTCGTCCAATACTGTATTTTGCCTCCCTCCATTTGCCAATTGCAAGAGCTGCTCTTGTTGCAGTAGCTGGTACTCCAAAGACCGTATTGGTTCAGACTGCAAGTGTCCATGTTGAGAATGCATTTGTCTATATTGAGATTGCCTTTGTGTGGAAAGTAGCTGTTCAAGTAGCTCTTTTTGATGACCTTCATGTGGTAACTGCCCAAAATTTCCAGCGGCAAGCTGCTCCATGTATGGTGTAAAATTTTGTGATAGGTGGCCAGAACTCTGTAATTCATCCATTAGTTGCTGCTCTAATAACATCTGATCAACATTGTTGAACCGAGAGAAGTCATGTGACTGCCCTATCCTTGAATCAGGAGTCTGTCCTTGAAGAATCTGTTGAAAATGTAATTGCCGAGCATGAGACTGTTGTTGCTCCTGTAAGAGCTTCTGTTGTAATTGATACTCTTGTTCTAGTTGACGTTGTTGTAACTGAATCTTCTGCTGCTGTTGCAACTGAATCTTTTGCTGCTGCTGCTGTTGCTGCAATTGGAGAGTCATTAAATGATCCAAATCCTGAGTTTGATCAAGGTACTTCTGGTCACGTATTGTATCATACGACCTGTTCGGCAAATGATTAACTGGTGTACTACCGCTTTCTAGCTCAGACCACAACACACCAAACGGATGCAGCTTGTTCTCATTCTGATTTTGAGCAGCAACCTTAGCTGATTCAACAGGAATAGCAGAGTGGCCAGAAACTCCCATTAAAGCATCATTCATACTTGTAGAGGATTTTGCCGATCCATAACCAGAAACTCCAGCTCTTCCTGGGAATACGATTTCTGATTAAGAAAAATACAAAAAAATATGTTAAGTTATTATGAACAGAAAATAAACTAGTATGATGAAAGAAGGAAATGTATTCGGCTACACAAGCATATAAACCCCGAAGAAAGAAATGTCTTATCCCACACAACTGCACATAAGTGAGAAAAAGGTCAGTAGAAGAACAAACCTTCATCTTGAGCAGAAAAGTCCGAGAAACTGCGGTCATTAACATGTGGTGGTTTCACATAAGCTTCTGAATTAGACTTCATTTGAACATTATCGTGAGCTGAGGCCGAACCATTAGATTCTGCTAAAGGTGCAAATGATAAACCAATCTCCGAATTTGCTTTTCGACTATTCTCTTCTAGCTCGCTGATTTGGTCATTGATATGACCATTCATACTTTCCATCTTTAAATACGACATGACACTGCCTAGATCTTGAAAAGGAGTCCCTTCTGGAGCATTTGCCAAGCGGACCTGAAGATCTGTCCCAAAAAACCCTTGTTCAAACCATGAAATAATGTCAGATCCAATGAACGGTCCCTGTATTACTCCTTGAGGATCAATGTACGAGAACAAAAACTCATCAGGTGGCATATCCCCTTCGGAGTGATTCACTTCAATATCTGGTTGCTGCAGCTTTCCCGTAACAAGGGATTCACCCGCATCCAACATAGAAGAGGATTTAGTAAAAGCAGATCTAACTGCTTCAGGACTTCCATGAGAAACTTGATCACTTTCAGAAACACCCCAAAGTCCTCCATTATGACTACCAAGTAATCCTACAACAACAATTGTTTGGATTTGGGTCAGAATATATAGTAGAACACCAAAATCCCATCAAGCTCATAAGAATGAACTTAAGCAAGACCTGTTTATCACCTACTATCTACATACCTGAATTACTATTATGCATGGAACCACTCTCACCACTCACAACCCCTAGCAAACCACCATCCACATTTTTCCCACCTGAGCCAAGTCAGAGAAGTATTCGTTATATTAAGCTAGTTGAAAAGATAGAAGCAAAGCAACGAAAAACAAGATTGTATACCTAATGATTCTTCCCCAGGTGAAGTGTGAGCTTCGCTACTAATAATCCTTCCCTTCCATATCCCCTTAAGGCTTTCCTAATAACCAAATAACACCCAACAACAACAAAAAAAAAATCAGTTACAAATAAAAAAACAAACGAATAACAAACAAAACCATACCTCTTCTTCAACATCAGGAGCTACAAAAGCAAGAGGCTCAATCAAATCCCCTCGAGTCACAAACTCAACTTCCTCCATCTCAACCTTCATCATCCCAACAACCTTCTGGTTCCTATACAAATCAAGCAACTTCCCTCTCAAATACCGACACATAACAACCCCAGATTCACCAGGAACACATTCATTCCTTGACAACGAACCCCGCGCCTTTCCTCTACCAACGGTGAACCCTAAATTAGGCCCATCACTACGTCCTTTATCAAGCCCAAACCCAGGCGCAGCGCGATAAGAACTCGGCCCACCGGACTGAGCCTCCATCCGATGACGTGGCCTCCATTTGTTGTCGCGAGGATCAGTTTCAGTGTGAAGCTCCTCCTTCTCCTTGGCTTCTTTCTCGTCGGGAGGGCCCCACCGAGATGACCATTTGTTGTCACGCCGCCGAGATCCGATCGGGACGGGAGCTGGAGATCGAACATCCTAATTCAAAAGAGAGTAAAACGAAGTTTAGTTAATTCGATTCGAATTGAAAACAAATCAGATCTAGCGGATCGGAGAAGAAGGAAGAAAGAAGGTCAACGAATTGAAATTAGGAAGGGTTGACTTTTAACGGAACTATACCATGATTACGCCGGAGAAGGGAAGAGAAGCGGATGTTTTTGAAGATCGCGATCTTGAAGAAAATAAATTTTCCTTTCTATTTTTAATGTTTTTGTTTTTTGTTTCTATTAATTTTGTTTCGAGTTGGTATTGTGTGTGTGTATGGTCGTCATTGTTTCAACTTTACCTTCACAAAACCTAAAGAAAGCGGATCGAGATTTGCTATTCTCACAGGGGTTAACGTGACGGTTCGTTTTGATTGGGTGTGTAGACGTGAGGTGTCCACGTGGTGATTAATTAGTGGACTGTTATTTGGTAATTTTTAAAAAAAGGTGAGGAATCTCCTGAGGGTTCAGAGATTCGTTGGAGAGAAATCATCTGAATATGTTGCTAACGTCAAAAGCAGCACTAAGTTGAGTTTTGGATTTGGTAACTGTGATGTGAGTGGAGTAAGCTGATGAGCTGTGTGTGTGTGGTAAAAAAACGTAGTATTACTATTCACACCGTTGGTTATGTTGTGGCCTCGTTTAATTTTTAGAGTCGCATTCTATTTACTGCAGAGTGAGTGCCTATTGTGTTTTTACTATACCATCTGTCTCTATCACACACATACAACTTCAGGGAAAGCTAATGCGAAACGTTTAATTCCTGCGTATAAAAGATAGTGTGGAATGGGTTGTCTCTAAACACGAGATCTCAAATTGCATGAGATACCACTTATGATACTACAAAGCATACACAGATAGAAAGCGGCTTTACTCTGAGGAGCAACCACTCAGGCGAGTTTTAACTCCATAGTGAAGGTTGGTATTTGCATTTCTTCAACTTGTCTTTTCAATGCACTGATCTAGTAGTTCTCTGTTGGTTTTTACTTTTATCCACAGTCCTTTGAGATTAGATGAAATGTTTTGGCAGGTGTGGGAGAATACTCAGGAGTCAAATTTCGTGGAGATGCATTGTTATTGTAAATCTATCCACCTAAGCAAACACATCCACTCTGCTTTTACAATTTATCTTTCAGTAATTCAGTTAAATCAAAATTACATTATGTTTGCCTTAGGTTATAGGCTATTTACGTCTCTAGTGGATTTTGACAGTTCAGCTACTCCCACTCTTATCTTTTAGAAACCTCAAACTTTTGTCACAAGATGTATCATTCATCAAAAACACCACAGCTATGAAACAATAGAAATCTCTGATAAAGTAACGAAGTTGACATACAAGTACAACAGAATCCAAAAAGCACTTGAGATACAATACAATACAACATGATCCAAGAAGAAGCTGACTTAATAAATTTGAAAATGCAGAGGGCACCAGAGTAAACTGTGTACCGGGTTTAGCTTGAACAATGAACGTTACACTTTCTTATTTTATTTGAAACGAAACTCCAATGGATGCAACCTGACTTAGCATAGAGTGACTTCGCATTCCTTACGCATTTAAATGAAATGGGTAGGGTAAGTGCCATGTATTGGCTGTGACTCGACCACGGGGTTGTGTTTTGTCCCATGTGTATCCGATGACGTTGACAGAAGAGAGAGAGCACTGTAGAAATCTTGCGATTCATGGAGGCCTCCTGAGTATTCCCCTACACCTGCTAAAACACATATATAACTCAGTTCCAACACCCAGAGATCTACAATTACAATAATGAAAATATCAAACCTTTGCTGGGAAGTTGAAAGTTGGACTTCCCTGCTGAGAACCCGCCAGAGGTTTGGTACGCACTGCTACCACCAAACACCTGCTCATCAGGGCCATGGCCTCTCTGGAAACTCAAAGTAAAGCCGCTTTCTATCTGTGTAGGCTCTGTATCATAAGTGGTAGTATCCCATGCAAACGTTTCTTCAGATTTCGTGTTTAGAGACAACTCATTCCACAACATATTTGTATGCTGTCTTCGATCTGACAGAAGTAAACATTTCACATTAGAGTTCAAAGTTGTGTACATGTCCGTGTGAAACAGAGAGAGAGACTGAAAGCCTCAGGGATCAAATAAATCAAGTTGGGTTTGTAGATACTTACTGCACACTCTCTCTGGATTCAATGGAAACATTCCTGGCAGCTTGCGACGCCTCGCGTTATGATGCGTTAGACGTTTACGGCAGCTTCGTTTTTTCTCATCAAATTCAGATACGGCATGCAACCTGTAAATCAGAACACACATCAACTCTCTAGCGTAATACCATGTAAAGAGGATGCCGCTTAAGAATAAAATGAGGCCATGAACATAACTACCAGTCAGAACAATGATCATGGCTTTACCTGCTACACTGTTGGCAGAACCGACGTTCCAGGCCACCCACAGTAACCTTTGGGCTCTTTGAATGGTTTTCGCAGACTCTATGCTTGCGATGATAATCCTTAGCAGATGAGAGATCCAGTTCACATCCATCAATTTGGCAACGCGGGACTTGCATGCTCTGTTTCTTACGAGCATATGGAGTCATCTGCTTTCTTGAAACGGCTGAAAGCTCATTATCGTCTCTACACCAAAACTCTTCAGAGTATGTCTGCTTTCCTAGTTTTAAACAAAGATCTGATTCAGCTGCGGATGTCTTCACCTGGAACAAATCTATGTTGCTGCAAGAATCTCCAGGGGAACTTTCTGATGCAAGGTTGGTTTGTTTGACTTTGGGAGATGATGAGTTAGTGGATGTCGACTGTGAATGCCAGAAACCGGAGGTAGAGCCATCACTAACTTTCTCGAGGCCATCGAAACAGGGAAACATAGATTCAATCCCTTCACCTTTCTCAATCTCCCACTCAGCAGACGCCTGGTTCTTGTTGTTTTCAGTCTTTGACGAATTGGACATGATCAAATGATCCCAGTCCCACACCATGTTGCAGTCCATTGAAGATTTTTTTCATAGACCCACACCACCAAAGCCAGGAGCAACAAATCCTGCAAATTTACAAAAACAGGGATAGTAAACAAAAGTGTAAACCTAAATAAGAAAAGCCTATACAATCAGCTACCTTTATAGACAACAACACCCTTCAATTTATCAAACTACCACAAGACAGAACAAACAAACAAAAATTCAAAATTTAAAGCACCACCACACACAGCTAATCAACTTTTTTTATCATATAACGTCAGGGAGAGAGAAAAAAAGCTTTCCATGTTTCACCCAGACAAACAAAAGGGCAAAAAGAAAGTGTATTCCTTTCCTAAGCTAATTTCGTCTACTCTCCATCACACAAAAACTAAGTGGCATTTATTCGAAATGGACCCACAGTTCCTCCTCAACAGCAACTTGTCAAGAAACAAAAAAACGTAAAACGGAAGCCTGTAGCCAATTGAAATGGCAAATCTTTCCCTAACCACATTCCCCTCCTTTCTAGAAGGTTCGTAACTAAAAACCCAAGTGGCTATAATAAGGCTATACGTCATGTAAATGATGTCAATTGGAAACGGTAGCAATCTCAGTCATGAAGGATGTGACAATAAGTTAGGTTTTGATCCCAAATCACGGTCCCCCTTTAGCTAGGGTTTGCTCCAATGGTCCCCAAAAGGCAATAAAGGCTTCTAACTAACGAAAGTTACCGATGCTACAATCCAATTAGACTAATCTCTATGACAATTTTCATTAATTCAACTGAGAATCGATCAATTTCTCCGGGCAGAAGCTTATTTAATTGTGAAAATAAAAACCCCAAATCTCAGGAGAAAAGAGGTTTCTGTGGGAAAATGGAGTAAGAGAAGTAAAACCTCAAGTAGAACAGAGAGTAAGAGACCACCGGAGGTCGCCGACGATCGGAGAAGAAGCGTTTGACTAATGAGAGCGAGAGTGAGACGACATTAATCGCCTCAGGGTAACGGAAATGAGCTGGTTCAGGAGATTCCCGATAACTGCTTTGCTTTCTTTAATTATTATTATTATTTCCGTTTTATTTTATTTTTTGCTTTTAGAATGAAATGATGTAAAAGGATTTATTCTAGTATTTTCTTTTTTACTATTTAACTTTACAGAAATGAAATACTTATTTCGTAAAGTCTACAACAATTTAAAAATATATATAAAGAAAAGTATTTATAATTTTGATGAAAAAGTGATTCAAATGAATATATTTAAATATATATATTTATACTTATTTCAATTATTCTTTGCAATTTTGATAAAAATGGTTGAAATGGTTTTAACTAATTCCATCTAATTTTATTTCATTAATTAAATTTCATGATAAACATTTACAACATGTTTCTGACACTAGAAATGTATTTGCACATGTGAATGAATGTGTATGTCGTGTAAGCCATTCTCCAAAAGTAATATATGATCCCAATTTTAAAGAAAATATTTTTGACCGAAGGACATATTAACACACATTCACTCAACAGCAAAAAGAGTGAAATCCATTATATTAGAATTGAGTTTGTTCTTTTTTTGGAAATCTCAATTCTACCATAAATTTAATACTATTTTTAAATTTACTATTAATGAATGATTATTTACACAAATACCTTAAATTTATGATAAAAAACATAAAATTAAGGTTATAAATATTTATAGAATAATTCTAAACCCAAATTCAATCCATTAATAAATAATAATCACTAAAGTCTAAATCCAAATGTTAGTATAATTTTTTTTATCGATATTCTCTTCGTTTCATTTTAGTTATCTTTTTAAGTTTCTGCAAACATATTAAAAAAATATTTAATTTTACATATTTTCAAGATAAAAACATAATTTCATATACAACTAACCATTTTCAACCAATAGGGTAATAGAATAGCATAAAAATTTAATAATTTTTGCATTGAAATTATAAAACGACACTTAATTTAAAACAAAAATTTTACTCTACAATGACAAATAGATTGAAACGGAAGGAGCTGTACTTTGAAAAGTGATATTTCTAACAATTTCTCTTGGAGAAATTTCAATTCTGTCACAAAATGCATTATACAATAAAATAAAGATGAAATTAAAAAAAAAAAAAACAAGAACTACTTGTAAGTAATGTGCAAATATTTTGTAAAAGTTGATTTTAGGTTTAAGAATGCAGATATTTTTTTTAACTAATTCCATTCCATCTATTTTTATTTCACAAATTCAATTTCATGATAAACATTTATAACATGTTTCTGACACTAGAAATGTATTTGCACATGTGAATAAATGTGTATGTCGTGTAAGCCATTCTCCAAAAGTATATATGATCCCAAATTTTAAATATTTTTTGGCATAAGGACATATTAACACACATTCACTTAAACAACAAAAAGAAAAGAGATAGTCATTTATATTAGAATTGAGTTTATTTTTTAGCAGAAAGTTTTCTCTATTATCATTCACAATCCATATATACAGTCAAATAACAAGGAAACAAAAAAAAACGATGAATTACTTGTAGCTAGTGTGCATATTGTAAAAGTTGATAAAGCATTAAGAATGCAAATTTAAAATCAGACGGCAGTGAGATGGAAACGAGAGAATGGAAAAGATGAGGAGGTGGTGGTGGAAGTGGAACAGAAGTCAAAAGTGGTCATGGTTCCATCAACTCCGATGTGGCTCAAGTGCTTCACATCCGTAGGAAGCCCTATCTCCATCTCCACCTCCCTCTCCTCTTCGTAACCTGGTCATATACACACATGCAAGTGCAGGTTTTGAGTCATACGAAATGTTTGCTCACAAAAGTAATAAAAGTAGAGTAGGACATACGAATGAAAAAGTGAGAAAAACTCTTGAAGCTTCGCACAAGTTTGTAGATACCATCTGAGATATTAGCATTATTGTTCTCTATCTTTGTCTCTTCTTTTAGAAACAAGCCACTTTCTTCTCTTCCTTGGAAAGACCAAAAATGACTAAAGAATCAGAAAGAAAATAAGAGATACAGGAAGTGTTGTGGGAAGAATGTTATAGGGGGGTACTCTTGATGTGTTGGTTTGGTTTGTTGTATTGATGAGTAGAAGCCACGGCGACGCTGGACTGCGTCGAGCAACCCAACGAAAACGGCAACACCACAAATCGCTCAATCCTATCTTTCATCTCTCTTTTTTCTCCAGTATGTGTGTGTACGCAATGGTATATGATCAATGTTATGATATATTAGCGTGTGTGAGTGTATGAAATGATGGACTTTGGTAGGGTTTATATTGCAAATCTCGTGCGTGGTTATGGCTTTGTAAGCAAGTTAGAATCATTGTTTACTTGAAGAATTTTTGTATTTCCTTAAACCAATAGAGGAAGAGTGTCATTATTGAGTACATTTGAGGGTGCTTTTAGTTGGCCAACACTGCCACTTGACCTAATTTCTAAGATTAAAATTCATGATAAACCCATCGCTCACCTTCCACTTTTTCTCCTCCCACAATAATCTCAATCTTGTAATTATAATCAATATCACACGATACAGTAACTTGGTTGAAAATAATATTTTCATCTTTATGAATCACACACTTTTTGACCAAAAAGAACTACACACTATTGGGGTTACTGCCTTTTCAATCCGTGAAATTAAAAACCCGATCTTACCAATTCTGTAAACCGGTAAAACTATGACTAACCGGGACAGATAAAACCCGGTTGAAAACTTAAAGCTCCACATAAAGGGTAGTGGTAGCTATCAACATCCTTAGAGAAGAGTTTTTTCTACCTTTAAACTTTCAGATTATGTTACCACTCAACAAGAAGAACTTCTTACTAATAAGATCAGAAGATATTTGATTTTTCCAACAGTTTTTGTATTCAAACAAGATTAAACTATAGTCTAAGAGTTTATTTTTCCCAATGAGCCTGGTCCCTCTCTTGTAATAGAAGCCACAACTTTCTAGGCATTAATCTTAGAACCAACTCAAACTCATATTTCAGAGAGAGATAAAACGACTTCTCCCACCTAAAATAAATATATCTATTTTTCTCTAATAATCTACTATCCAACTATTAAGTTATCTTTCATATAATAACTGACGAAATTCTCCCATTTGCATATAACTATCGAAAATCAACAAGTACCCTAATAATTAAGTAAAGAAAGCAATTCGATGGAGGTGTGTACACGCTCTGGTCTGTAAAACAAAACCTTAGCCATAAACCGTTAATCTCGTAAACTACTATGGCTTTTATCTAGCAGGAGGTGGTGGAGGGGCAAGGGATTTTGCCATGCTAACCCAAGCAACAATCCCACAGGCCAGAATCATCCAACCACATACATCGTACGTGAAGTCATTGTTCTTCTTCCTCTTCTTATTAGTCTTACCACCCTACAAAAGCAAAGAACCAACCATACAAAAAAAAAATTGAGAGCTTCTTTCTGCTTTTAACTTCTCATCAACTTACTTGCTATTAGAGAATTTATTTGTATGAAACAAAGTGATAACTTACGTTAGCATTTCCTCCTCCTCCTCCTCCAGCTAGTGCTTGCTGCATCATTTCATCCTGCTTTAGCTGCATTAGCATTTCTGGGCCCTATACGCATTTTCCAGAAAAGAATAAGTTAGACCACAGAGATCAGACGCAAAAAAAAAATACAGAGAGATGATGTTATGAGTTATGAGTTATGACACCAAGATTGACTCTGAAAATGAGAAGTTGAAATAGTACCCTTAGTGCATCATCCAAAGCCTTGCGATATATCTCATTTCCTGGATCCTAAAATACAAAAAAAAAAAACAATACATAAAAGTCAAAACATTTTTCCAAATTCAAAAACTCATAAAAATTTGAAAAAAAACGAGTACTTCATTTTCAGCTCTTTGAAGATATTCAGCGGCTTTATCGAAATGACCCTTAGCAACATCAGCATCAGGATGAAGAAAAGCTTGGGTAGTGTAGGCATTGCCAAGACAACAAAGAGCCTGATGCTTCCTTGGATTCCATGTCAATACATCTTCCAACTTGGAAATAGCATCTGCAAATATATCAAAATAGTAATATACTTTAATTTTATCATTTGAGCAAAAGATTTATTCAACAAAAGAAGAAGTCATACCATTTAACATCACATTCGCGTCGGGAATAGTCTGGAACTGAGCAAGTTCAATCAATGAACCAGCCCACTTGAGTAAATTCTGTAGAAAATAATAAAATAAATATCACACAAATAGAGAGAGAGACTCATATCAATATCTTCCAAATCTATTTAATTACATTGAAGTAACCAATTCAACTACAGGATCGTATTAAAAACATTTAAATTCGACGTTTTTAGACCCGAAGCTATACATAATAGTGATTAGTATACATAAAATCACACACAAAATCAAAGTAATTCATCTAAATACAATCGTCATGAAGGATAGTGAAGATTAATACGTAGAAGTCATATGATCAAAGAGGAGAGTACAAACATCGGAATCGAGAGGATTCTTAGCGAACTGAGCCTCGCAAGCTTTGCGAACATGGTCGAACAGAAGAAACCTTTCCACGTCGGCGGTATTGAATTCCATCGTCAGAGATGCAGAGACAGGCAGGGGAAAGAAACACTTTAGGGTTCTGTTCTGTTCTGAATACTTGGGAGATCACAAGACCTCGATACCAAACCAAAGTTTGAGGGTTTTAGGAGGCGGCAAGTCGTGGATTGTAAGTTTGTAGCACATGATTGGGCTTTTCCGTGGATTTAATGGGCCTGTCATCTTTTATAAACGCTACATTAATTAAACCCAGCCCAATCAATTTTCACTAGCATGCACTTGCAAATTGATGGAGCTATCTTATTGATGTTTGAGATGGAGTTTAAGGTGAATGACTGATTTTCTTTACCAAACTAAATTTGATTGATCGGAAGACCTTTTAATCTAGTGGTTTAACTTACAATTTCATTAATTTTACATCACGAGATTTGGATTTCAAGTCTCAAAAATGACGAATTAAGATTTATAGAAAAATATTTACAAAAGATCTTCATGACCCCAAAAAAATACAGTAGTGTATGGATCTCATAAGACAGCTTTGAGTAATATATTCAGACGTCAATTCGCATAAGAGATATAATTGTCAGGTTGTATAATTGTCTTATTGTAATTTTTTATACAATTTGTAATAGCATAATTAACTAATTGTTATAAAAACTAATTTGGATTAAATGTATAGAGCTATTTTTAAAGGTTGATTGTTAATTTGTTATTGATCTTTTTATTTTTTTGTGGGTTTCAATGTTTTTCTAAAATGAAACCCTATTGACCACTTTTGTGCTAACTGAATTTACAATCAGCTTTATTATAACTAACAAAAAAAAAACTCAACCTGCAATATTAAAAATCATTTATAAAAGCATAGTTTAGGCCCATTATGGCCTAAACAGGCCCATAAAGCTAAAAGCATTTTCAAAGACTAACATCATGTCTCCGCCGTTTAGGGTTTCATAAGTCCCCCCTTATATATAAAACTAAACTATCTCCATCAACTCCAAATCTCTCGTCCATCAGATCTTCTGTTTTGGCCGCCATGGTAAATGCTTTAAGCTCATTAGCTATGTAATTATCTTACACAATATGCTTCTGTGCTTATTTATCCGTTTTTATTGATTTTTTTTCTTTAGGTGAAGTACTCACAAGAACCAGACAACTCCACAAAATGTGAGAACACTTTCTTGATTCTCTATCTTACTTCACTATGGCATTGTGTTTTTTTTTTGTAGCTATATTGATTTAAGTTGTTTTGGTTGGTATGGTTATGTAGCTTGCAAGGCAAGGGGAGCCGATCTCAGGGTCCACTTCAAGGTAAAGTTCTTTTGCCGAGCTTGGAAATGAGTCAGATTAGAGTTTCTTGGGGCATACGCTTGTAATAATAACAAACCTGAATAACAAAAAGCAGGGTTCTGTTTTTTTACATAGCAGAACTCACGTAAATGTCAGGGAAAGCAAATTGGTCATCGTGTTTGGGTGAACCTGCGTTTCTTACTTATATCTGATGGGTTCAGTTCATGATGGTACATTTTAACTTCTTCCAACTAACTAGACCATGTTTTTCATTAGCAAATGTTTTGTTTCCTAGTAAACATGTTTTTAGGGAATGAATCTGATTAGAGTTTATAGGAGAGAAGCTTGTAATAAGACCAAACCTGATTAACAAAAAGCAGGGTTCTGTTTTGTACATAGCAGACCTCACGTAAATGTCAGGGAAATAGAATTGGTCATCGTGTTTGGGTGAACCTGCGTTTCTTTTTATATCTGATGGGTTCAGTTCATGATGGTACATTTTTAGCTCTGTTACTTCTTTATATTGCATGTTAGGCCATGATTACATTAACTAGTGCTAAATGTTGCCGACATTGGATCTTGGAAATGATTCGGTGTTCTAGGGAGAAAAACTTGTAACTAGTAGTCACCTGATTAACAAAAAGCAGGGTTCTATTTTGTACATAGCAGACTTCACGTAAATGTCAGGGAAATCGAATTGGTCATCGTGTTTGGGTGAACCTACGTTTCTTATAATATCTGATGGGTTCAGTTCATGATGGTATATTTTAGCTTTTAATCTATCACTATTGTGGAGTAGAGCATTGATTCTTTTATATCTTTGTTCAAATGAGTTAGTTTGTTTCTACACTTGTTATTTTTTTTTAAAAGTTACTTTGTCTGGACGAATCTGATAGTGTTTCGTTGCTGTTGTTTAATTGTGAATAGAACACTAGGGAAACAGCGCATGCCATAAGAAAGCTACCATTGAACAAGGCGAAACGGTATTTGGAAGATGTGATTGCACACAAGCAAGCTATCCCATTCACACGTTTCTGCCGTGGTGTTGGACGTACTGCTCAGGCAAAGAACAGACATTCAAACGGTCAAGGTCGTTGGCCTGCTAAATCTGCTCAGTTCGTTCTGGATCTCCTCAAGAATGCTGAGAGCAATGCTGAGGTGACTTTCCACTTCATTACTGGTTTGGAGCTTCTTATGTTACTAAAAATCTATTGATTATATTCAGGTGAAAGGTTTGGATGTTGATGCCCTTTACATATCACACATCCAAGTGAACCAAGCAGCAAAGCAGAGGCGTAGAACATACCGTGCTCATGGAAGAATCAACCGTATGTTCTTTCTTCCTTGTGTTAGTTACTCTTTTGTTTTCAACTTTGGTTTCTCTGATCCAATTGAATCCCTTTTGCAGCTTACATGTCAAACCCATGCCACATCGAATTGATTCTTTCAGAGAAAGAGGAGCCTGTTAAGAAAGAGGTAATTAAAACCATATCAGTACACTTAACGTAATCATGATTTTCACCATCATCTTCGATTAATCTTGTTCTCATACCACATTGTAGCCGGAGACTCAGTTGGCAGCGAAGTCAAAGAAGGGAACCTCGTCTTGATCCTATATATACCGTAGTTATCTTTTCTGTAATGATACATTTTGTTCATTTTCGGCAAGACAAGTAACCAAAATTAATACACGTAATGATGATTAGTTTTTGGTTTACCAAAGCTTTTATTACTGAACAAATTTAAGACCTTGAAGTTAATTTAAATCGTCCAGCTTTGATTAATTGTTAATCCGCAAGCTTATAAATTGACCTGTCACTTTCATTGAAAAGTAAGCAGCTTAATCAATATGATTAGTATAACAATAACCTGATATTTTACTTCCAAGCACTTGGTCAATTAGTGGTATCGTAATCAGTTTATCTATCAATATTATTTTTGTCAACAAATCAGTTTATTTATAACAACTTTTAAACATAACTAGTGTCGTGTAATAAAATGATTAATCCACAAATCGTGGTGGACAATTAAAATGGACTCATCATCATCGTCGTTAATCCCCGGCTTAACGGACGACGCGGCGGAGCTCTGCCTCTCACGAGCCCCACGCTGTAACTTCCGTACCATTTCTCAGGTCTGCAAACGATGGAAAACATTCCTCAGGAGCGAGCATTTCGCATCCGTACGAGAGTTGACCGGAACGGTGGAGGAGTTCATGTGCGTTCTGATGGAAAGCGAGTGCGGAAGAGACGTCTACTGGGAAGTCTTCGACGCCTCCGGTAACAAACTTGGACAGATCCCTCCCGTCCCTGGTCCTTTGAAACGCGGTTTTGGAGTCGCGGTGCTCGGCGGTGGGAAGATCGTGTTCATCGGTGGTTATACGGAGGTTGAAGGATCTTCTTCGATTAATAGCACTATTGTCTCTGCTTCTGCTGATGTGTATGAGTTTGATCCTGCGTCTAACAGGTTTTCTTTAATCTCAATCTTTTCTGATTAATATGTGACGTTCCGTACATAGATAGAAACTGATTCTCTTTTGTCTGAATTTTTTTTTGGGAAAAGAAAAAAAAAATTCAGACTAACTGATTCTCTTTTGTCTGAATTTGGACCAAAGTGGATGATGTTTTTGTTTTTCTTGTCGGGATGATTTAATCTCAACAGGTGGAGAAAACTGGCGGATATGAACATACCACGTTACAACTTTGCATTTGCTGTAGTGAACGGACTTTTGTATGTGATCAGAGGCTATTCCACAGACGCTTATAGTCTTTCTAACTCGGAAGTTTACAACCCGGAAACTAACCAATGGAGTCTAATGGATTGTCCAAACCGCCCGGTTTGGCGTGGCATCGCTTTCTCCTTCAAGTCCAAACTCTATGCTGTAGGTGGGAATAAGAGCTAGACATGGCATATATAGATTTAGTTGAACTATAACTGACGATGATGATTCTTTTCAGGGAATGGATCTAGGTTCATTGACATATATGACCCCAAAACGGAGACATGGGAAGAGTTAGACTCGGAGCAATCAATCTCTGTGTATTCATACACTGTTGTGAGGAACAAAGTGTATTTTATGGACAGGAACATGCCGGGGCGTCTGGGAGTGTTTGATCCAGAGGAGAATTGTTGGAGCTCTGTGGGTGTGCCTCCGAGAGCGGGTGGTTTCTGGTTCAGACTAGGGGAATGGAACAGTAAGGTTCTGTTGTTTTCACGGGTTTGTGGACATGAGACTTTGATGTATGACCTTGATAAAGAGGATGGGTCCAAGTGGAGAGTCTGTGATCAGATTAAACCATCTGCTTCTCACTTGACCAGCGTTCTCATCAGCTTCTGACTTCATTCTTTTGTAAAGTGTGTGTAACGTTTTGGATCTGTGAGTTTTGTGTGTTTGCCCCAAAATTCAACCAATTCTTCAACTGTGTGTGTGTGTGTAATGTTTTGGGGGCTGTGAGCATTTGTTTGGCCCTCAACTTTGTTAATGATTCCTATATTTGTTTGTGGTTTGTATAAACTTGTTTTAATATATTTTCACGATTGGTTTGTATACTACTAAACTGGTTCTATATCTTTTAATGCTTTTTTTTTTTCTTTTTGGTGATATTATAGCAGCTAATGTATAAGCTATTTTACAATACTTATAACTGCAACCACTGACTAGACCCAGGCTGTGCCTAACTCTCATCAGTCATGACAAAACAGGAACGAGGGCAAGGATTGATCAAGTTGGTGTAGCAAAGATCAAAAAGTACTTGAGTAGCTGACCAATAACAACAACACAAAGTCTCTTCTTGTTGCAGATTAAACATGTATAAAACCAATTTAACCTATGAACACAAAGTTCAAATATTATTTCTGTGAGACAGAGATTTGATTACGACCATGTTTCAAGCTTCTCGTCGTCCTACTCACTCATTTTTCACAGCACTGGTGCAGCTTTCTGAGTTGCTAGCTCCCGGAGAAACTGATGCATCTGATGTACCGCACGCCTTTAGAACAGCCTCATTCTGCAAAGAGACCCTCAAAACTATTAAAAGCTACCTAAATGTTAAAATGTTTTTTTTTGACATGGAGAAGCTTTGCATCAAATTTCAAAACACCAAACTTGAGGAAACAAACATCACAGAACTCATAACCATTTTGCAATGAAACTCATAACATTGGATTGAATCCAATTAACACTATAATGATCAATAAACACAGTGATAATCCATCCTTGGCCTATAAAGTAGAGATTCTAATGTATAAAAATCGCTCTACCCCGAATAAATGAAGCTGGGAATGGGTCAAACCCATAAACCCTAAAAAGAAATGTTCAAAGGAGAGAGAGAGAACCTGCCAAACGCGACGGAGGCGGGTTTTGGCATTGGCTTTACGAGTAGAGGTAAGCTTGATTCTCTTCCAAATGAGACCACCTGAGTCGTGCTTCTTCACTATTTCCATCACCCTTGTTCCCCAAAACGCTCCCATGGCCGCCTCTCTCTTTCTCTCGCTTGCTCTCCCGAATGAACAACGAAAGGGTCTGTTTTGATTAGTTTCAGCTTTTCCCTCTCATCAGCCCATTTCTTAGTAGACTTAAGCGGCCCATTTTTAATTATATACCTTACCAATTTTGCTAATTCATAATATAATTATTTTTATTTCTAAATTTAAGTTATTTTCACATTTTATAAAACTTTTACCTTTATTAATTGTTTTAAAATTATTTTATCATGAAAATTTATATTATATTTAAGAATATATTTTAAAATGCATAAGTTCTAATATTTGTATTTTTAGGCAAAACAATTTGGCAGCGGATGTACGTTGTTATTCATTCTTAGTGATCGAGGTTTGTTGATTTATTTATCCTTAAATAAAAAATGTTACCTTCAGTATAATTGGACATTGAGACTTAACAATGTGGAATTGTGAAGACACAAAAAAAAAAAAAAAAAGAGTGTAGTATGATCGTATTGATAGACCAAAGAGAATGTGTACATTCAACTTGACCCATGTATCCTCACTTCTAGACAAATTTTATCTACAAAAAATAAT